GGAGTCAGCAGTAGAATAGAAGCCATTCAGCTTCTCTCTGTACTGCCTCTTGGCCGCTGTGATGGCTTTCCTCAGTCTGTACTTTGCAGCTTTGTACTCCATCTCATCGCCTGATCTGAATGCATGAGAGTGAGCACGCAGCATGTGGCGTACCTGACTGTTTATCCAGGGCTTCTGGTTGGGGAACCTCCTGACTTGTATGATGGGCACACTGTTGTCGATACAGGTACTAATGTATCCGGTCACATACTCAGCATAATCCTGTACGCTGACAGAAAAGTCCTCTGAGGAGGCTGCAGCTTTAAACACATCCCAGTCTGTCTGGGCGAAACAGTCCTGCAGGATGCCTTCAGTCTCTGGGGTCCAGAGTTTAATTTGTTTGGTGACAGGGTTTGTTTATTTCAGTCTTTGTCTGTAAGCTGGATACCGGAACAAAGAAATGTGGTCCGAGCATCCAAGGTTGGGGCGGGGTGCAGCCCTGTATGCACCACGTATGTTACTGTAAACATGATCCAGAGTGGTCTTGCCCCAGGTGGGAATGTTCACTTGTTGGTAGTATTTGGGGAGTACAGTCTGTAGATTGCACTGGTTAAAGTCGCCTGCAGTGATTAAAAATACAGCATCGGGGTGCGCTGTCTCTGGCGCGATGATGGCATCATAGAGTTTGCTGAGAGCCGCAGAGGGATTAACTCTTGGGCTAACATACACAGTGGCCAGAAAGACAGCACTATGCTCTCTGGCTAGATAGTAGACCCAGCATTTCACCAATAAAAACTCTACATCTGGCGAACAGTGCTTATAAACAATCCGTACATCTCCACACCACGAGTTATTGAAAAACACACACACACCACCTCCCTTTTACCTTCCCCGAAGCAGCAGTGCGTTCGCTTCGATGTACAGAATGTGTTTGTAGCTGAAATCGCTGAGTCTGGAACTCTGTCAGAAAGCCAAGTCTCGGTGAGAACTAGAGCACAGCATTCTCTGATTTCTTGTTGTGTTGTAATCCTAGCCCTTAGCTCGTCCAGTTTGTTTTCCACAGACAGTACATTAGCTAGGAAGAGGCTGGGTAATGGTGGTCAGGTAGCGCGAGCTTTTAGCCTAGCATGGAGTCCTCCTCGCGTGCCCCGTTTGCGTCTCCAGGTTGCTCTCCTGATTTCAGCCTGCTAGCTTGTGCCTGGTGCTCCTGGGGCTCCCTGTGGGGCGATGGTGGCTTTCCTCGCCATTGTTGTTGTCGCCAGAGCCGGAGCGGACCATCCGTTGTAGCTCCGGTGGTATGAAACCAGTAAATTCCCAGTGGCTTTGTGAGTTGGCGATATCCAGCAATGCCTGTCTGTTGTATGTAAGCAGTGCATGACATTTGTGCACTGCAGAAAAAGCAAAAAAAACAAACAAAAAAGAAGAAAACAAAGAAAAAGCCGGCATTCAAGAGTGGAATGCGCAAACACGTTCGCCTCGGTGGGCGCCATGTTGTTCCCATAAATGTGCCATTTTGGTAGCATTACCGTCATTATCAATCATAGTATATACACTACATACATCTATAAGTTATTTCAAAAATACTATTCTATACAGCTACATACAGTAGCAGATGCCTCAACTACATCCAAAAGTCCACTTTAGTATTCAGTTTAAACACTGAAAGGACAGAAATAGATTCATCTGCAGTGTTTATCTGCCGACAGCTGCTAGTGTTGGTTCCCAAACAGAGAGCTGAAATCAGGACGCACAGTCATTTTTCATCTTCTTGCTCTCCTCGACGGGATCTCTATGTCCACTGCGAATTAGCTACAGTCAGCTAAGGTTATCTGTTCTAAATTACCACAGTCATTAAAGGGAGATATAAACAATTTAATCAGCTTCTTAGCCAAACAAAACAACTATGTATGTATGTAAATGCAGCACCTCCTCCCAAAATGGCGCCCAAGATTCAACATGGTACACACCTTCACATTCTCCATTTTGTTTTAGATTTAATTTGAAATTGATACAATTTGACATTTTTGCACTTGGTAAAAAATGACATAATGAAAACATTTATTTTTAGAAATATTTGAAAAATTATTACAAATCAAAAACAGAATTTCACATTTACAAAAGTATTCAGACCCTTTGCTGTGACAATCCTTTTTCCTTTTATCTGTCTTGAAATGTGTTTAGGACATGAATACAATCTTCCTGTGGCAAATTGAGTTGTATGGACACTAGGGGTGCAACGAGACAATACACAATATTGGGTCATGAGAATAAGACAAGATGATATTTTAAACAGTGTTTTTAAGAAATGTTCAGTGATGAAATACATGACTAGAAAAATAGTCTGACTGAAAGTCACAAAATGCAAAACAATGCAGGTGCATTTTGAAGTGTTTTAATCATCTTTTAATGAATGTCACTTCAGTTCTACTTTGAGTATGAATCATATGCAGTAAAAGACAACAATATACAAGCACTGTAAAAGGTTTTACCACAAACCCAACTTCCTGGCTTCTGTCCTGTATGATTTCACGAGTCTCTTTGGACCTTATAATTTGGAGAAGAATTGGGAGAAACTTGTCACATTAGTTGTGTTGAACTTCTGCAGTTGTTCTTCTTTGGTTTGTTCATTGCAAACAGCTGAATGTTTGTAAATTTTTCAATACACCAAATTTGCAATCAGGGTAGAATAACTTTGATTGCAACTTTGTGTGTGTGTGCCTTTTGTTTTATTTGCATTATGGGGACCAAGGCCTGTTAACACACTCACATTGTGGGGACTTTGCCAAATCACAGAATTTTAGGGTGGCAACACGGTTTAAGGTTAGGGTGAGGTTAAGTATTAGGGTCAGGGTTAGGATTAGGCAAGTACTGGCTATGGTTAAGGTTAGGATAGGTCTACAGGAAATTAATGTAAGTCCCCATAAGGAATGAAAACACTGTGTGTGTGTGTGTGTGTGTGTGTGTTATATTTACCTTCATTTACACCCACATAAACTTTATTGTCCATATATGCTGTTTGTTTGCCTGTGACACATTTTACCTTTGTGCACATTAAGGTGACCTGTCATGCACTGGCTTGAGGATACACTTCCATTCCTTGGGATTAACCTGGTAGAGCCTGTACAATTCCTAAATTACACAGTCCTTTCCAAGAGCCTGCCAAAAGATTTCAACTCTCTCATAAGTTTCTGTCTATGAACTCAGGAGATCTGATGTATCTGTACATACTGTACTGGTGAGTGTCCAGGTACAGCAAGTACGAAATGAACATCCCTTGGAAAAATACACATTAATCTTAAGTAAACGTACATGTGCCACATAAACAAGTCCAAAAGAAACCACAGGCATTTGTACTGATGTTAATATTGATATGTTTGCATAGTGCGTGTGTACCTCAAAGAGGCGGACGTCTGCTGGGACTCTCTCTCCTACTGACAAACAGACAGTGTCTCCAGGAACCAGGTCTCTGGCCAGCAGGTTCTCTAGGTTCCCCTCCCTGATACTGAGAAGGGGAGTGGGAAGCAGAGAGCAAGGCTGGATCACCAACTGGGCAAAGTGGGAGATGGCCCAGACATCCCCCCACCCAGCCCAGATTTACTGCACATCATCATGAATTTTCCAGCTTGCAGCAATGTGTAGTACCAACTATGACACCCTCCATCTTGTAACTTTGTCTTATAAAAGCCCTGTGTCAAACCCTTGTTTTGTTTCCTTCATGGTCCATCTGAGCTTTCTAACCTAATTTTGATATTATCATTAGCTTTCAAACCTAATTTTCAAATGAAACCAGGTCTAGACAACACCCATTCACATCAACTTGACTCAGGGTTACTAAGATGTTTCTTTAAGTTTATATTATGTCTCCTGTAAAACTGTGTCAAAACTTAATTTTTGAATTACAGTAAAACCTTGGATTACCAGTATAATTCGTTCGGGCAACGTGCTGGTAATCCAAAGCACTTGTATATCAAAGCGAATTTCCCCATAAGAAATGATGGAAACTCAGATGATTCGTTCCACACCCACTTATCCATATAAAAATGATGACAGTAATACAAAATACAGTATAAAGTAAAAATAAAACAAATTTACCTGCATTTTACCTTTGAAAAGAATCATGACTGGCGTGAGGGGCCATTGTTGCAGTACAGATGTTGACTATACGAGTGAGGTGGGAGAACCATCTGCTCAGTTGTGACGTGCGTCACGTGCGTACTACTCGTATTGCGAGACCTCGCTCGTATATTAAATCAAAATTTTTGCTCGTCTTGCAAAACACTCGCAAACGGATTACTCGCGGTCCATGGTTCCACTGTGTTTTGTGTGTGTGTGTGTGTGTGTGTGTGTGTGTGTGAGAGAGAGAGAAATCGTGGGTCAATGCACAGAGTGCGTGGGGGTAAGATCACAGCTCCTCTTTGTCTACGCCTAATATGAGGCGCTAACAGCCCACCTTATTAAATTATTTCTTTCTGACTCAAACGGTACCACTTGATTTGGGACAGGCTCCGAGATCCTTTAAATCTGTTAATCTTGTTTACACTAAATAAACCTGAGAACTATCCTGCTCTGGAGTAGGTTTGAGATTAGACATGTTGCCATGACAACAAATTGTCAACAAAGCTATTCGGCTAACCTGTTAATCCATGTATGAAGAACACCCCCCAGGTCTTTGTGGAACGAGTGTTGAAAATGTATTGGATATTCTTTATGGCTTTGAAGGTTGTGCTTGGACTTGGATACAATTACCAGACTACAGTTTCCAGCTGAGGAAGGAGTGAGTAGATAAAGCATTTTTTCATTCTTTGGATCTTTCAAGTTAGCATGGGGATTCCCATTTAGAAACAGTTAGATTTGGTTATTGTTGTCTTTCCGAAATGGATGGCAATATGCGCTGTTGTGCCACAGCCATGGACGAATTGCGAAACAATGGGCACCTGGCAATAGATGTGAAAGCCCCCCACCCGCTTGCATACAAGCAACATACCAAGACTTGAAACAGATGTTTTCTTTGTAAAGATTGTCTTTGAAGGTGTTTTGTACCTCTCTGTAGTCCTGCATGTCATTTTGTATCCCTTTGTAGTTGTTTAGCATCCTCTTGCAGATGTTTTGTGTTTCTTGATAGACATTTTGTGTCTCTGAAGTCATTTTGCATCTCTTTTTAGTAATTTTTTTTTCTCTTTATGGCCATTTTTGCATCTTGTTGTGGCTGTTTTGTGTCTTATTTTGGCCATTTTTTTTGTCTCTTTCTGGAATATTTTGCAGGCAAACTATAGTGGCTCCTTGATTCTTTGGGGCCCCGAGCCTGTGCTTGGTCAGCAGTTCAGTTCATTAACCCCTCCACTGCCATAGCCATCGTCCATCTGGCTTGTAGCCTACAGCTCACTAAATTTTTAGTATCTTACCATCAAATATTTTCTTTGTGAGTATAGTTTGTTCATTTTGAGCATATAACAGTAACCTAGGTGTCCAGTCATGTTCAGTCTTTATCAACACTTCAGGTGACACATGTTCATTTTCAATTAATTAAATTTTTTTGTTCCATGAACCCCCTTTCCTCCATTCTTTTTGATAACCCTATTTCAGGCGCAAACATTTTCCTTGCCTTTAAGCCCTGCCATTGTCATATAGCTAGCATTAATGGTTGAAATTCTTTTGTTACTTGACAAAAGGAAATTATTTGACAGCTGCTTTATTGACAGTGGCCATGTTCACGTTCCTGTGACATTACCAATACCAGACTGCTCCACCTTCTGTTTCTTTACAGTAAGAACTCCTGCTTCATCCCAATATGTTGATGTGTATACTCTCATGCAGGCAGTTACATGGACCACCTGAATGTAATGCTGACAGTGCAGAGATATAAGCATACAGATGCAAGAATGTATATTCATTTCTGGAACTTAAAGCAACCATGTACCCTGAGATGCTGTTAGCTGTATGGATAGGTCTGCTAGGAATATTTACTAGAAAAGTACATCATCACACCAATGACTGTTACCTACAATAAGTGATTACTATATCCACAATGTTATATTGTTAGAATCAAGGTTTACACAATACCTGCTGGTGCACAGTGGCATATCTTTTGGTGACATAACCCCTTTTCATTTCTTGAGTATACATGCACCGGTCTGGAACACCTTCTGGAGTGCAACTTTGTGGGAAGTGTCACTGTATGAATTGAGCACAGCTTTGTGCATACACATGGAACCCATCATTGTCTTCATTCATTTGTTTTGACTGACCTCAGTATGTTTTGTTCCCTAGCTGGGTAAGATGCGGCTGACGGTGCCATGCCGGGCAGTAACCTGCTCTCACCTGCAGTGTTTTGACGCTGCCCTCTACCTACAGATGAATGAGAAGAAACCCACTTGGATTTGTCCTGTGTGTGACAAGAAAGCAACATACGAGAGTCTCATTATTGATGGGTTAGCTAATATAATTCAGCCACTTCACACAAAACATGACCTAACAGGTGAAAGATGATATCAAAGCAAAAGGTGGTTACTTTGAGGAATGTAGACTATAACCTTTTGCTTTTACACTTTTTTGCTTGCTACATAATTTTGTATTTATTTCATAATTTTGATGTCTTCAGTATTAATCTACAGCCTAGAAAATAATAGAATTTGGAGACACCTTATTCTCATGCATATTAAAATTCACATGAGAACTTGAAGTCTTTTATGGTCTGGGTCATGAGAACTTTGGGGCATAAAAACAGAAGCTGAGAAAGCCCTCAACAAAGTCAGTCTGCTTGTCTGACCACTTGGTGTGCAATTACTTTATTTTGGTGGGGGTTTTTTGCAGTTTATTCTTGGAGATCCTCAACGACTGTTCAGATGTGGATGAAATCAAGTTTCAGGAAGATGGAACCTGGTGTCCCATGAGACCAAAGAAAGATGCTGTCAAGGTCCCTTCTCAGTCAGTTCAAAAAATTGAGAGTAAGTGCATAATACTGATAGCTGGATAAGATTCCAGTCTGTTCTGCTAACAAGTATTGCGCATGCATTAGAAACTGAAAACATTAGTGTTGCACACTGGATGACATATTCCTTCATGTCCATGAATGCACACATTGGAGTTTATTTTAACACAGTCCCATGCACACCGTGCTGCCCCAGATACTTGCAAGAGCATCAAATGTGGGTTAATTTGCTTCTGGCAATTCCTCACTAAAATCCACGACAGCCCACTGGGAGTTTGGATATTTCAGTCTTATTTTTAATAAATATATAAAACGCTCCAAAAGCATGTTTTTGCTTTGTAATTTTGGAGTACATAGGGCAGTGTAATAATCTGAGTGACTTTAACAAAGGCCAGAGCATCTCCAAAACTGCTGGTCTTGTGGGCGTTCCTGGTATCCATTGGTCAGTACGTACCAGAAGTGGTGTGTTTGGTCTGTCTTAGTAGAAACCAGTGGACCAGACAGGGTAGGAAAGTCAGAATTCACTGAGATATAGGCTTACAAATTATTATTATTATTTTTTTTTCATGTGATTTGTTGACCATAAGACTGATCTTAAATAACACCAGCCTTATCTTTTAACCTCAGCTGCTTTGCGCCAGCCATCAGTGGTTCCCTTTTCTACTGAGCCCAGCTCCATCAAGAAGCCTGATGTGATTGATCTAACTCTGGAAAGCTCTTCTTCTTCTGATGATGAAGAACAAGCAGACCTTCCACTGAAGAAACGCTGCATTTACATTTCCAAGACTGAGGAGATGCAGGGAAAGGGGTAAGCCTGTGTGTGTTTAAATCTACAAGTTTTTAATGTCATCTCCATGTATTAGCATTGGTCAACAATATTCACAGTACTTCTTACTGGTTTCTATTATTGCCAGCCACCAACATAATTTGACTGTTTATGTATGCGTTTGTTTATAAGAATGTATGCAATTTTCTGGAAGGATGATATCTGGAGCACACAGTTAAAGACTAAACCTATAATCAGAATTTGCTTTTTTTGTTCAGAGTCTTGACCTACCAGCCCACTGTGCATGTGCCAAACGTCCAGTCCCTGGACCCATCGTATCTGACATCTACGCTTGCCGACTATGCAGTCCCCTTCCACCCATCCACCCTTGCCACCATCCCCACAGACATGCAGAGTGAGTTAGCTGGCTAGGATAACCCTAAGCGGTATCACTAACACTATGTGGTACTGTTAATAAACTCTTTTTTTCTTTCTCTTAACTCTAGGTCTGGATTTGTTTTCCCTAATTCAAGCAGATCCTCAGGTATGTTTGTTACACTTTTCTTCAGTTATCAAAGCCAGAAATCACAGCAACAACATAGAATAACCTCAAATTGCAACTCAGTCGCTGAAGGCTCACTCAGTTTTTTCAGATTTCTAATGGGTACTGGCACAATGGCAAATGGATAATAAAGTGAAATTAAGACAGCAGGGTTTAAGTGCTGTTGTTCATAGGAACACTGACTTCCTAAACTAGATTTATTTGAAGAATATGCCTGCCTTTAAGTTATGACCCATTCAGCTGTCCGAGTTTTTTTTTTTGCTTGTTTTGTTTTTGTTAGTTTTTTTTATTATTTTTTTACCTGAGTGAAATTTTATCAAATCCAGAATCTTTCATATCCCTTGAATTTGTTTAGGTTTTGTCTGGTATCATTTCTATCTGGCAAAATTGACAAGTTACTAAAACTCAAGGTAATCCATAAAAGATCTGTAATGACCTGTGCTTTGTTGGCTGTAATGATTAACTGACAGCATACTTAATGTTTAAAAATTAGTTGAGTAGCAAAAGTAGCAGTGCTAGACAAATAAATTCTTTAAAAATCATACAATGTGATTTCCTGAATTTTTTTTTTAATTCTGTCTCTCAGAGTGGGAATGCACCTACAATGTGAATTTCAGACCCCTCCATGATTTCTAAGTGGGAGAACTTGCAAAATCGCATGGTGTTTAAATACTTCTGTTCCTCACTGTAAGCTTAACTCAGTTCCCATGGCACTGAGGGGCTTAAATATTTTGACAAACATTGACCCATAGCTGATCATATTCAAAATGATTGCAGAAACTGAATTGGTGGATGCTTATGTGTGGAAATTCTCTTGACACTATGGAAAAAGAGCTGTAGTGTTCATAACAGCAATTTATAACATGCTTTACAGTGGGAATGATATTGATCCTGATCAACTTGTTTTTTTATGCTTAGCATTACCGGCCTCAGATGTTCCTGGATAATCTGACAGGCAGCATGCAAAGTGCCGCTGCAGCCAGCACCAGCGCGGCCATGGTTTCCTCTAGCAGCCACTATGACACCAGCACCCACACTGCCAGCTCCATCCATGAAACAATGGTCATCACAGGAGGAGGGGCTGACAGTGGTATATCAGATATCATTTCACTAGACTGAGCCATGTCACACTCAGCCTTTTTCAGGCCTGTTTTTGTGGCCTTTTTTTAGTCTGGACTGCAAGTACATGTCATGCTGAGTTTGACACAGAAGCACCCAAATTGGTATACATTAGCACTTTGATGGTTTGAGCATTTTCCTTGCATTGAAAACAATATTCAGTGACATTTCTTTTTGGGTTTTTCAAATGCAAATGGGGGTTTCCTCCTAAATGCTTTGAATGATAGAGTTCACTATTTGTTGGCCAAGGACAACATACCTGATGACATGACAATTAACAGCTTGTATCAGTGAACTGTCTTTTCTTCTCTTGAAGTTTGTTGGTCTAACCTTGTATATACTGTTATTTTGGCCTTTGTTTAGTCCTGTATTTCCTGGTGTTTTAGCCTTGGTTTAGTCTATTCTCTAGCCTTTTATGTCTGATTTGGTGCTTCTCTACCTTGCTAGGTGTCACTCTGTTCACTCTTTTGTATTGGACATGGAGCATAGACTCAATTAACCTAGCAAGACTTGCATTACAGCCATTTATTTAAACATTTATATTAAAAATGTTGCCTTAATTAGCCGTTTCTATGTGTTTCATCATACAGATTAACATATATGGTGATGTGAACAGCTACTCTTTCAGCCAGTTAGACATTATTGTAGAAACACTGAGCCTTCCATCCTCAGCTCTTCAGAGGTCTTCCTGGCAAAAAGATAAATGTCTCCAGTTTCTTAAATGCTGGAAATATTTAGATCATTGAACGCTTTATTTATGCCAATTTGGTTGCTTGCACATACATGTAAATCAGACCTCAGTGTTTTCTGGCCTGGTTGATCTGGATTGTGTGCCTCTTTAGTATGGAACCCATTCAGAATGAATGGGAGAAGAGGTTGGACTCACACAGTGTCCTTACATATGAATAAATTGCTGGAGGTAGGAAGCCCCTCTGTTAAGAAAAGACTTGGGGACTTCTAAACAGACTGCTGGCTACAGAGGTGTCTGACCTCACACACTATGGACAGTGCAGTGTCTGTTTTACTCTATCTGCTGGATTTGTAAAGCCCTGTTTTGTCTTTCACACTCACTGAAACAGATGGTAGGTCAGTAATTTAAATATTTTTATTGGTTCTAACAGCTGTCTATAATTTGGCTTTTTGACAAATTACAAAAAACTGTCAAAGTGCAAACAGGTTTCTACAATGTAATGTCAAATAAATAAAAATGTATAATGTGAAATAAGTGTTTGCATAAATATTCAGCCCCTTCAGGTCAGTTTTTAGTAGATGCACCTTTGGCTGCAATCACAGAACTGAGTCTGTGTGGATCAGTCTCAATCAGGCTTGCACATCTGGACACTGCAGTTTTACTCCATTCTTCTTTGCAAAACTGCTCAAGCTCTGCCAGGATGCACGGGCATCAGGTGTGAACAGCCATTTTCAAGTCCAGCCACAAATTCACTACTGGATTGAGGTCTGAGCTTTGACTCGGCCACTCCAGAACACTCACCTCGTCTTTAAACCATTTCTTTTGCTGTATGCTTCGGGTCATCATCTTTCTGGAAAATAAATCCTCTCCCAAGCTGTAGTTATCTTGCAGACTGAATAAGATTGTCCTCCAGGAATTATTTTGCCACATTCATTTTACCCTCTACCTTTACAAGCCTTCCAGGGCCGTTGGCCGAGAAGCATCCCCACAGCATGATGCTGCCACCACCGTGCTTCACAGTGGGGATGGTGTGTCTGTAGTGATGTGCAGTGTTTGGTGTGCGCCAAACATAGTGTCTTGTCTGATGGCCAAAAAACACCAGTTTGGTCTCAACAGGCCAAAGAACTTTCTTCCACTTGACCATGGAGTCTCCCACATGTCTTTTGGGGAACTCTAGTTGAGATTTAATGAGTTTTCTTCAACCCATAAAGCTTTGACTGGTGAAGAACCCGGGCAACAGCTGTTGTATGCAGAGTCTCTCCCATCTCAGCTGTTGAAGCTTGTAACTCCTTCAGAGTGGTCATAGGTGTCTTGGTGGCCTCTCTCACTAGTCTCCTTGCATGGTCGCTCAGTTTGTCAGGACGGCCTGATCTAGGCAGATTTATTGCCATATTCCTTCCATTTCTTGATGATAGATTTAACTGAACTCTGGGGGATGTTCAGTGCCTTGGAAATTGTTTTGTATCCATCCCCTGACTTATACTTATCAATAACCCTTTCTCTGAGTTGCTTGGGGTGTTCTTTTGTCTTCATGGTGTAATGGTAGCCAGGAATACTGATTAACCAGTGACCGGACCTTCCAGACACAGGTGTGTTTATACTACAATCACTGGAGACACATTCACTGCACTCTGGTGATCCCTGTTTCACTAATTGTGAGACTACTAGCACCAATTGACTTGACCTCTGTTGAATTAGGTCAGTCATTTTAAAGGGGAATATTTATGCAAACACTTATTTCACATTACATATTTTTATTTAATTGACATTATTTGTAGAAATCTGTTTTCACTTTGACAGTTTTTTTAATCAAAAAAGCCAAATTATATTGACCATGATTGATTCATAAAATCAATAAAAGGGTCAAACATCCAAGGGAGTGAATACTTTTTATAGGCACTGTATACGGTCAGTTTATTTGCTTATATGAATTGCAAAAATTATTTTGTTTTAAGAGAAATACATTTAAAGGAATAGTTCATGAAAATCAGATGTTGAAATTGTGTGTCAAGTACATACCTAATGTCAAAATGTGATGAGCTTAGCTTAACATTAAGCATGGAAGCTTGACTCTGTCACCAACCAACACCTCTAAAACTCAGCAATTAACATATTGTATCGTGCTTGTTGCTCACACAGTCAGAAATGCTGATTCACAATTTGTGGTTTGAAGGGGGACTAATGTAATAATATGCTTCCCTGCTTCCAGTCTTTATGATAAGCAAGACCAACCACATCCAGACTCCAGCTCTATACTGAAGGCACAGACATGAGTGATACCCACCACATCATCTCTCTTAGAAATAAAGCCATTAGGTGCATTTTTCAGAATACTGAACTGTTCATTTAAAGGAAATGGTTTGGTGGATTTATTTTCCTTTAAGTTGGTATAAAACCTCAGACTGATTCATGCTGCCAAAAGTGTGATTGTTTTTGCTTCAGTGAACATTTAAAAATCCACTCAGTAATTCTTCTGAACTCTGACCTCTCTGCTATTTTTGTTGTATGTTGATGCTTTGCGTTGGGATGGATGGACATGACAAGCATTTGCTGTGTTAATTCCAAGACTTAAGCCCACTTTCTCACAGTTGTCAGCAAGCAGGAGCTATAAACATTATCTGGATCGCTTGCTGTTTATGTGGACTCTGAGCCATCAGAAGCTCAATCTCAGGGATCTACACTGCATTATTCTGGGCCTGACAGATACATAGGAAACACCCTCTGAGCATCTGTAACTGAAATACAGATGATTAAGTAAAGGTTTGGCTAAAGTGTAATATTTTTAGGGCAGTGTATGTTTTTATTCAGACATGCTAATTAACATTTACAAGTTCACGTTAAGACTGCGATACGAGTCAGACCACCTAAACTACAAAAATGAAAGAAAACCTCACTTGGCTCTAGTGCTATGTAGTTGTAAGGAATTTTTTTTTTTTAATGGAACAAATGTTTTGAGATACCTGGCACTGAGATGTCATTTTCCATATAATTTAGTTTGTGTGTTGAAAAATTGCGTTTAAAAATTCATGATTGAGTCAGTATTGTTGCTCTGGATTATTAACAAGACAGTCTTGATTAGAACTAATGTGAAAACTGTCAACAAATTGTTGCTAAATTCCACTGGGAAGGAAGCAGAAATTTGATAAACTGATATTTCAACCACTTGGTGAATAAAAAAAAAATTATCTGCATTGTTGGTTATTGAGGAAAATGTTTCTTTTTCCAAGTAATTTTAGTTCTAAGTACAAGTATGAATAAGTGAAATCAAGCAAGATACAGCACTGTTTGTCACAAACCAAGAAAAAACCCATTTTGGTATAGAGGTCACTGTTTAGTCAAATTATTGATTTTTACATCTCTTTTTACCTGCAGTCAGATGCTGGTGATGTGGATCCATGGGATTCTATTTTATTTATTTCTTTTTTTTTTTTAAATGTTGTACTCTTTGTGCTCTATAGGCGCACATCACTTGGATGTTTTACTTTTGACACATGTTAATGACAAGTTTTTTTTCCCCTTTTGTTTCACATTTACAAGTTTTATTAGAGAATTGTTTATTATAAATTGTCTATTTTCCTGTATCTGTGAACTTACATGATTTTGAATTATGGTACCATGTGTTAGGTGTTTTTATTATTAAATGTTTTTTTATGCTCTTGCAATCTATCACTCCTCAGAATGGGCCACCAGGTTTTGTTAATCCCACGAAATTATGGCATGCCAACATGTCAGCAATGCAAGTGATATTGTCAGGGGCCAGTGAGTCAAAGGTCCTGTGATCAAGCATCACCTCAAGTCTTGGCTCATATTCAGACAGACCTCTCTAAATGACAATGAAGAATGCTCTAAAGAGGCTCCCATCTTGGCCAGGTCTCCCTTGAAAACGAGATCTTTATCTGAATGGGGCGCCCTGAATCCTCTATCATTTTTATCACTTTCCATTTCTTTCCAAACACCTTTTCCTTTCAAAGCTGACAGAAAACTCCAACTCTTCTTAATAGCCATCTTTTGGTACATCATCAAGGTTAAATCATTTTTATTTTTTTTTACATTCTTAACTAAACATAAAAAATAAGACCACTTTTTTCTATGAAGTTAAGGAGCCCTTAACAGCAGTGTAGTTAAACAAGTATTTGTCAATGCTTCAACAGAAGCATTCTAAAAGAAAAAACCTTCACCTACTCCATTGAATAGATCTGTTATACACATAGATGTATAACTGAAATTATTGGCTGAAATTAAAATGTATGTACTAGTAAGATAAATCATGAGAATTTAGTAGCAAGTGTAGAAAATGAAAAGTGATTGCACCCAAGAAGAATAGATGGACAATGGGAAACCATGGCCAAGTTGATATAAATGTAAACTGTTTTGTCAAATGGTCTTAGTTAGCGGGACCAGATTAGAGTGTACAGAACTGAGCGTTATATTGTCTTCCATGATAAGGCAGTTGAACTGAATAAAGAGGAAAAACAGACCCCTCTACCACAGGAGGGCAGTACAGCCTCAAACACAGACTACAGCTAATCATATGAAACCGATGGAATGTGTGTTAGATATCTGTGAATCAAGCTTTACCTGGTGTTACGCATGTGGACAAAGTTGTTGGTACCCTTCCACTAAAGGAGGAACTCCCAATGGTCACTGAAATAATGTGAAACTGACAAAAGTAATGAATACAAATTTTGTGAAAATCACACATTGCTTTTGAATTGTGGTTCAACAGAAGCATTCTAAAAAACAAACAAATTAAACTGGCCTGGACAAAAATGAAGGTACCTCTGGAAAAGACTGAAAATAATTTGACCATAGGGACATGTTAAACTAAAGTGTGTCCTTTGTCTTCAATCTTGTAATCAGTCACTGTGC